TGTGTATAAAGTTTTTAAATTATATATGTATATATATACAGTATATATCCACAATTTTAATATTTTATTTTGTGGTTTTAATGAATTTTAATTTTATTATAATTTTTATATTGCATGAACTTGTTGTTTTTAATTTGTAAGTTTATTGTACACATGATTGGTGGAGGAGGTTATTTGAGCCTTGTTCACCATTCCTCTCGGATAAGAAGAATTTACGTCATCATCTTTTTTTGTGTTATTGTCATTGTTCGTAGTTAAGCACAAAGTTGGACAATGGACTATCTGTGCTGTGCCCACCACGGGTATCGAAACCAGAATTCTAGCATTGTAAGTCCGCAGACATACCAACGGGGGGGGGCGATATTTCTTTATGATCATCGTATAGTACCTTTTGCCTCACACTGTATAATGCTTGTAAATTTCGATCGAAATCGTTTTCGTATACGTATATCAATATTTGAAGTATAAGGGTAATGCTGTTTGTTTTGTGCTCGGCATGGCCAGGTTGATACGGCACTCGACTCACAATCTGAGGGTCGCGGGTTCGAATCCGCATCCAACCAAACATGCTCGCCCTTTCAGCCGTGGGGGCGTTATAATGTGACGGTCAATCCCCCTATTCGTTGGTAAAAGAGTAGCCCAAGAGTTGGCGGTGGGTGGTGATGACTAGCTGCCTCTAGTCTTACACTGCTAAATTAGGGACGGCTAGCGCAGATAGCCCTCGTGTAGCTTTGCGCGAAATTCCAAAAAACAAACAAACTGTTTGTTTTAAAATGTTGTATTCTGTTATGATCATTATATGCTACATTTTGTAAATGGGTCCATTTTTTCAGTTTCGTATTTATTAAAAGGATTATTATATATATTTGATGTGATATTTTATCGTTATTAAAGGGTCTATTTTTGGTATCAATTTATTCATCATGGTTAAAAAGAGTTGTATTTATATTTTATAATATTATGAGTTATTGCTTTTAAAGAGCGTCTTACCGTGTATCTTTGATTTTCGAAAAAGTGTTTTATGCTATTTAAATGTGTGTTAAAGATATTTTGTGTTCTATGTTGTAACTTTTATTTGTTAAATAATAAATAACATTTTGTAAATGTAAATTGATGTACGGATGGCTGGGTCAAAAAAAAAAAAAAA